CAGGGCCAGCGGCCCCCAGCAGCGCCTCTCGGCGCCGGGTGCGGGCAGCTGCCCGGGGCCTCTGGCCCCTGGTCCGGCTCCCGGACGGGGAAAACGCGGCCACAGGATGGACGCACCGCCCCAGTCCGGAGAGCCAGGCCCGGGGCGGAGCAGCCCAGAGAAGGGGCCCGCGCGGCAGTGTCCTGCCAGCCGCCAGCCAAGGGCCAGGAGACCGGCGCGCCAGACACCGCCGTGGGGCGCGGGGCGCAGCCCCGGGCGCTGTCCGCGGTGCTGAAGCCACTCCGGCTCCCAGTTGGCGCCGGCTCCCCGCAACACTGTCAGGGCACAAGCAGGGAGGGACGGCTCCGGGTGCTCGAATGTCCGTGCTGTCGGCCGTCTGTCTCCCTCTTCGTGGGTGCCGGGAGGGCGCACTCCCTGCCAGGCCAGCCTGTGATGCTCACACCGGAGCCTCTGGGTGCCTCATGGGCAGCTGAGGTGCTACTGCCCCTGGCTGGCCTGCAGCAGCCCAGAGTGGGCAGAGGCACGTGGGCAGCCCTGGGGGGCAGCAGGGAGGGCCCTGGGAGAAAGCCGGCACGGGGGCGGCATTCTTCCCCCGCCCCCAACTCGGACAGGACCATGTCCTGGAACAGGAAGTGGAGGTGGGCTGGGAGCAGGAGAGAGGAGGGCGCGCGGGAAGGAAAGATGGAGAGGACAGCGGGGGGCCCAGGGGCGCAGCTCCCAGCACCGCACGGAGCGCTCGCCGGGGGTCTCCACACCCCCAAGGACTCCCTGGGCTCTGGGCCTGGTTGGCCTGTGGGATCTTCCAGCGGCTTGAGTGGCCAGTTAGCAGGATGATGAAGAACGGCACAGAGAAGCCACTTGTTGTGGTGGCCGCTGCCCGTCCTTGGCCACTCAGCCCTGTCCGAGGGCTACTCAGCAGGGCAGGGTTCACCTAGGCAGAGGGTAGACCACCAGCGCTGCACCCCTGGCCAGTGGCTTTGGGCACTCACCCTTGGATGCCCTTGCTGGGGGACCTTGGCGGGTCTCACTGGCGCCTGCTTCACGAGGCCTGACACCAGCCTCCCAGGGTCCCCACTTGGGGCCGAGGGGGAGGCTCCGAAGAGGCAGGGTGTCTTCTACAGCCACACATGGGGAAGTCCGGGCAGCGGGACAGTCAGCGAGTGGCGAGCCTCCTGAGGCAGGCGGGAGTAAGGGCGGAGGTGGGCATGTGGGAGCAGGCCAGTCGGTGAGAGGCCGAGTGGGACCGGGGGGAGGCCCAGGACAGCCTGAGCACCCGCGGCAGCCCCGCCTCCTGGCCAGAGTCAAGGGTCCCCTCGGAGGGGGCACGCTTGCTCCAGCAGCGAGGCCAGGACCAGCCCTCAGGGTGAGCTGGGGGCGTCTGGACCCTTGGCCGGGGTCAGGAGGGCCCACCCGCTTCTGTGGCCAAGCGCCTGAGGCCCGGCACAGGAACGGGGCCGCCCGCAGCAGGCCGTCTCAGGAAAGGACAGGGAAGAGACCCGCCCGCCCGCACTCGGGGCCCAGTGCTGAGGATGGTGGTGTGTACCTGCAAGTGCTCAGGTCAGCTGGGGACAGGAGCTCCCTCTCCAGAGAGCCCCCAGCCCACCTGAGCAAGCATGTGTCCTGGGGACCCGCCAGCCGGGCCCAGCCCCGGGTTTCCAGCCCTCTGCAGGTGTGCCTGGGCGCAGCCACAGGGGACCCCTGCGCAGAGCCCCTCTCACGGGGAGGGGCGGAGCAGAGGGACTCTGGCCCCACATCTGGGGCCTCCCGTGCCCAGAACCTTCTGGGAGCTCCAGAGGTTCAGGGGCACATAGGGTGTGGGCACCTGGACGTCTCTGAAGGGGCTCGCAGAGCCTCACTCCTGTGCTCTCGTCCTGTGAGGCCCCCAGCAGCTTACTGGGGGGTGCGCAGGCTGGACGGTGCCCAGCCGAGAGCGCAGGGTGGCGGCCAGCCCACTGCAGCCCCCACAGCAGGGGCCCGGCTCATCCTCCGGCCAGCGACATTTGCCTGCACGGGCAGTTCCCCAGCACCTCGCCTTGACCTGTCCCTCCGTTCGCCTGGAAATCCCCGAGGCCTGGACGCTACCTGCCAGGGCCCCACCAGCCATGGCTGAGAGGCAGGGACGGGGCAAGGAAGGAACTTCAGAGGCCTCTGAGGCACTCGGCCTCCTTCACCTTATGGGGCAGATGGCCAACAGCTGGCTGCTTGCGTTTCGCCACTGGAGAAATATGGCCGCAGAGAGGTCAGGGGACTGGCCTGCGGCCACCCATGGTCTGAAGGAGCCCTGGGCCTGGCCTGCAGTCCCACAGCCCCGCCCACGACCCTCCCACAGCCCCTCAATCAGCCCGAGGCCCCGCCCACAGACCCACAACCCCGCCCACAGCCCTCGTCCCGCCTGAGGCCCCGCCCACAGACCCACAACCCCGCCCACAGCCCTCATCCCGCCTGAGACCCCGCCCACAGCCAGCCTGCCCCGCCCACATCCCTCATCTGGCCTGAGGCCCCACCCACAGTACCACCCACAGCCTGCCCACAGTCCCATAGCCCCACCCACAGCCCTCATCCCGCCCGAGGCCCCGCCCACGGCCCCG